AATACTGCCAGGTTGCCCAGGCCAAGGTGTGACTAGTTTTCGTATAATGATCAACCTATTTTCTCTACTCATAAAAATACCACACTGATTAAAACTTTTAAGTACGCACGGTATTCGAAAACTCATTGAACCATTCACATTAGGGTTTCAGATCCAAACCAGAAGGTTCGCAGTTTGAGTCTAGGAAAAAACACAAAACGTATGCAGTGAGGATACAATAGCTATCGAGTGCTTACTGTTAGCTTTCACAGAAATATCCGTGTCAAATAACTTCTTTCCCATTTAACAGTCTTTGATTACACATAAAATAAATTAGAGCATAACAGCTAAAGCCCGTAGTTAAAAGAGATATGGTGGAGAACAATGTGGGGGAATTTTCCCGATAGTCAGTTTTTCGGACAGTTTAAACGGTGGAATATTGTAAGTGGATGGGAAGAAAGTGTAGAAATGCTTGATAGTTCAGTAGTTTGTGGGGAACGGAGGAATGAAAGAGAGAAGCAGGATGCCCAGTGACAGAAATTCGATAAGGATGATTAGCCACCTCGGTATGGTTGAAATACAAGAACATTTCAGGAGATAAAGATAGGAGGGAAATGGGGCGTATGAAAATCGCGGGAAATAGTTTTGACAAGAAGCCGCAGTGTTCGGTTGCCAGTGGCGGAAGAGAACAAGTATTCGGCCTCAAAACGGACGAAGAGCTCTTTCGTTCTCTGTATGGTTAATGAGCATTTGTTCCGAGTTTGAACGAAACGGTGGTCGAAGGTAGGAGTGAAAGAGCGGCACCAGCAGTCGAAAGCTGAGCGTATTCGGCGTGAAACATGGCTGTGTGCGCGGTTAGACCACTCCGGGTGTTTGGATTCGTCAGTTTCGGAAAATTGTAGAAACAAAGGGTGCATAGCTACAAGAACAACTTCGATGGTTGGAAACAATCATGAAAATGTCCGAGGTGATGCATCAATCGTTCCAAGGATTATGAGAATTCAAGGAAACCGCCTCAGATCGAGTGAACTGGAATCCCAAAAACGTGTCGCAAGGTGGGTGGAGGATCGGGGAGAGTAAATTTGATGGAGCACGAAGCAAGCATAAACTAGATGGAGGGACAGTGGAGATGTATGAGAAATGAGAGTGAGATCAAGAGTAAGTAGACCGAGAGCCAGCTACTACTCCATTGGGGAATTGTGTGGACAGGTCAACTAGCCGGTTCAGGCTATTTTTCACACTGAAATGTTTGGCATCGCGCGTCTGAGTGTGTGAAGTGTCTAGCATTTCGGATTGTGAACGCTGAAATCGTTTAGGATGGTAAAATTGCACTGAGGGTTAGCAACAAACAAGCTGCTGAATGTTAGACGGTGAGCAATAGAAGATGGAGGAGTCAGTACTGCTGGGTGAACGATAAACAACACATAAATAAAGGCTTTAAACGGAAAATGGATAGAGAAAAAGCCTTCTCACCTTTCTTCCGGGGGCTCATATTTTTCTATCTTGAAATCCGAATCCACAGTGATTTCGTGTGCAAGAGACATGTTGTAGAAAGCGTTCGCTGCTTCCGCCAGTTGTCCCATAGTGACAAAGGTAGGCGGTGAAGCTGTACGCAAAGACAAATTGGGAAAATTAGGGACTGATGAGTGAGTAAATATCTAAATGAATGTTTCTGTATCTGANGTATCTGAGCATATTTGCCGCGCATACTAACGGGGTTCATTCTCGCCATTAATGCGTTCCCTTACATTTATAAACAGAGCGGAAAGGCATCTACCCGGGGTTCAGTTAGATGACACAACGTATTTGTACTTCACTGGGAAACCACCAACGCCTAGATCGGGTAGTAACCAGACAACAAGGTAATACCCGATTCACGTTTCGCTCGACGTATTGGGTTGTATGTAGCTGAGAGACCAGTTAGAGAAAAGGACTAATAAACTACCAACTGGAGAACACCGCAGAACAAAATAAAAGCCGAAGGCAAAACTTTGCCATTTTAAGCTGCCGAAGGAGGGACCTACATTGGGCCCGTTTATTAGATACACACTTCACTATGCCTCAGTATACACTACTGATGCAAAAGATCAGATGGGGGATCACGATGCATAATTTCCACAAAGGAAAACCTTTCTTTGTGTCACTACGCTCAAAGCGCAGTGAGTAACCGCCGTTTACGACGGTATCAAAAGACCCCAATCGAAGAGTCCTCTGTGCTTAGCCGTATATATTGTACGCGTGTGGGAGGCGAGCGGTCTCAGTCGGTGACAGCAAAGCCCGAAATTCTAAAGCCTGCAATCATCATTGAAATACCAAGGTAGGCAAAAGCGGTAGTGTCCAACCTGATTTCATAGATAGCACAAGACAGTCTTGATTGGTTCACACCTCCCAGGCCTTGGGTTGCTAGCTTTATAATCGAACAATAATTCTAATTGATTATGGGGCTGTGCTTGCCCCCGGAAACCTTAGTAGGGTCGATGAGGGGTTTCTCGGCTTTTTTACACACCAGTATGTGATGAACAGCAGGTGGGGCGGACCCACAGTCACGAAGACCTGCTGTTCAGTGATGATAACCGGCAACCTGATCCCCGGGACTTGGAGTGGTGAACCAAATAAGGCCCCGCTAGGTCAGGCAAGGTATAGAACCGGGCGACAGCAAAGCTGCCTACCACCAAAGTTGTGGCTGGTTACCCTTCCTTTGAACTTTTTCGAAGTACTCCTATGAGCGTTTCAAATAGCCTATGCTGAGGAAGCCTTGCTCACTGCCTTCTCGTGGCGGAGGTGTTTTCCTACCGAAGTGAGAGGACAAAGGCCAATATCTGGGGCTGGGTTGGTGAACCACTGGCAGTTCACCTACGGCAGTTGGATAAGAACCCCGTTTACAAACCAACCAACAAGGGGGCGTAAGAACCACACCTTCCTGGTTGTGGCAGTGATCACCGGCTCGACTGGGCACGTGGATT